GTACGACAAGCTCGTGTCCTGACGACGTCGAAGCTGGCTTCCGACACCGCGTGGACCGTTCAACCTTGGGCGGCCCGCGCATCCCGATTGCGCAGACCGGCCGCCATCGGCGGACTCTGGGCCACTGCCAGCCTTGAGACATGATATCCGACGTTGCAACAGAAATATGCAACATCGCAAAGCGAATCACCACCGGAGCCCCGGACCCCGCTTCTCTGCGCCATCATCCAAGCCGCATCGATCTGCAATGGCCCCAGGGCCCGACACTGAACGAAAACGCCCGGCTCGAAACAGCTGACACGCCAGGATCTCAGGAACCCAACCTGGAACGCGAGCGCTGGGATCGCCGCCGCGTCGACGCGGCACGAAGCTGCCCGCCGCCTGCGCGGCGAGCTCCGCCGCAGCCAGGAAGAGGAGGAAGAGGAGGAGGCGGAGGAGGGGGAGGAGGGGGAGGGGAGGAGGAGGAGGAGGAGGAGGAGGAGGAGGAGAGGAGGAGGAGGAGGAGGAGGAGGAGGAGGAGGGAGGAGGAGGAGGAGGAGGAAGAGGAGGAAGAGGAGGAAGAGGAGCAAGAGGAGGAGGAGGAGGAGGAGGAGGAGGAGGAGGAGGAGGAGGAGGAGGGAAGGAGGAGGAGGAAGAGGAGGAGGAAGAGGAGGGAGGAGAGGAGGAGGAGGAGAGGAGGAGGAGGAGGAGGAGGAGGAGGAGGAGGAGGGGGAGGAGGAGGAGGAGGAGGAGGAGGAGGAGGAGGAGGAGGAGGGAGGAGGAGGAGGAGGAGGGGGAGGAGGAGGAGGACGAGGAAGAGGAAGAGGAGGAGGCGGAGGAGGAGGAGGAGCAACAAAAGGAGGAGGAAAAGGAGGAGGAGGACGAGGAGGAGGAGGAGGAGGAGAGGAGGAGGAGGAGGAGGAGGAGGAGGAGGAGGAGGAGGAGGAGGGAGGAGGAGGAGAGGAGGAGGAGGAGGAGGAGGCGGAGGAGGAGGAGGAGGAGGAGGAGGAGGAGAAGGAGGAGGAGGAGGAGGAGGGAGGAAGGGGGGGAGGAGGAGAGGAGGATGAGGAGTGGGAGGAGGAGGAGGAGGAGGAGGAGGAGGAGGAGGAGGAGGAGGAGGAGGAGGAGGAGAAGGAGGAGGAGGAGGAGGAGGACAGGACAGGACAGGACAGGACAGGACAGGACAGGACAGGACAGGACAGGAAATCCGCATGACGTGGTCAACGTCAGTGCGCCAGCTCAAATGCAGTGTAGAGCGCATGCGTAATTCCCAAGCGTGCGTGTCACGCAGCAAGGACTCGACAACCCTTCTATTTCGTATGGAGGGAACTGCCAAGACCTGCGCAGAGGCGCGCACGCTGGCCTCCTCACCCCTTGCCTTCACCTCCACCCGCCCTCCACCACAGGCAACCGTGAGGCCCGTTTGCAGGGGGCCCTGTATTACCAATCAGTAGCTCTCCGATGAAATCAAAGGGTGCGGCAACCCTGGCGCTGAGTTGCCACTGGCGCGCGCGAGCGGGCCTGCGCAAGAAGGAGGGCCCCTCGGGCCCCTCTTTAATTCGCGAGCCAAGCTCCTCTCTGTATCCTACGGAGAAGAGGACCGAGGAAGAGAAGAGAGGGGGGCACCATGCACTCCGAGATGCCCTCGCTAGTGCGAACGGCGCCCCCCGCGCCGAGACAAGTGCGTTCCCCCGCGCCAAACGCGCTCAGAAATGCGCGGCCTCTGCTCCCGTTGACTTCACCTCGCGCCGGCTCGCCCGTCCCTCCGCCTTGTCGTTCTGCGAGGTCAGGCTCAACAACTCAGAACATCTGGAGAAAAAAGATGCGGAGCATGCTGGAAGTTCGCGCGACATCTCCGTCCAACGAAATGAATGGTTGCGCGTGTGTGTGTGTGTCCGCAACCTAGGTGTACACATTGGTCTGAGCTTCAATCTTCACGTTGCGGCAGTTGCGCAGTTGTCCCCCAACCTGGCAACAACTCGAATGCTTTCTCGTTCCGAAAGAACGTATTCCACTTCTGGCAAAGTACGGACTGCGCCGCTGTTGGCCAATCGGCGCCGCCATTCATCAGCGGAAAAATAATTTCCAATATTGTTCCACATGATGTGGTAGATGGCGCCCAAAGTTCGTCCGTCGCGCTTCCGCGTCCGCTCTTCGATGACAAACCTTTCGTAACAACCGCTGAGAGGTCAGAGGGGAACCCCCGTTGTGAATGCTTGCCGGCCCCTTTGCCTCAGATTCCCACTGCTTCTCCACCTCCCCCGCGCCTGCGCAATCCTTTCGCGAAGCAAAAACTCTAATACTTCAACGAGGTCTCCAATGGACCCCCCCCCCCGCACTTCCGTGCGCAGCGTTTGCAAGACGCCCTTAGCGATACCTTCGTGGGCCGCTGTAAAGAAGGAGAATCCCAGCAAGCGCGGCGATCTCAGGGTCGTCATTGAGAAGCCTGGGTTTCCGAAGTTCGTCGTCGGCGCCGGTCGATTGCCTCTGAACCTCGGGGCCTCCATCTTCCCAGACCTCCTTCGCTCTCCAGCGAACGCCCGAGTCGATCTCCAGGGGCAACATGTCCAAATCATTGGGTTGGCTTCTATCTTTCCAGACCCCCCTCTCGTGCATCTCACCGCGGGGGCCCATGGGTTGTCGAGGCCCATCCGACTTCATCCTCCGGCGAACAAGCGAATGCAAAGCAGAGCTCCATTGATTCAGTTGTGCTTCGACTTCCTGGGGCAACATGTCCACATACGTTGGCTCGGGCATGGGTTTTCGAAGTTCTTCATCGGCACCCGCCGGCTGCTTCCGAACCTCGGGGCCTCCAACTCCCCCCAGGCTTGTGTCCTCCAATTTTGCTCGCGGGCGCACGAACGAGTGCGAAGCAGGGCCAGTCGAGTTCCTTTTGCGCAGTTGTACTTTTATCTCGTGGAACAGCTGTGTCAAACGATTGGATTCGCTTGTAGTAGGGGCAGGCTGCTCCTGGGCCCGAGCGGGCGAAGGTGCTAAAGGGAGCCGAGGCGGCTCTGCAAACTCCCCTGGCAGCTCTTCCCCCTGGGCCCCGCGGGACGCAGGGGGAAGGGGTAGCCGAGCAAGCTCTGCAAACTCCCCGGCTGCCGTCTGCCCGCCCCTCTCGCCGTCGCTGTTGTCCACCTCGATGCCGGCACCCATCTGCGCACCCCTTGACAGCGGCTCCTGCGCTCTTTCTCTGCCGAAGTTGTCTAGCAAGCAGGTCCCGGGGCGTGTGCAACCAACTGTTCACATATTGTAATCTTGGCAAGTTGGTATTTCCGAGCGTGGGTGCGGCGGATCCGTTCTCTGCCTTGTTCGCTTGTCGTTTTGTCAAGGTCGCACTCAAATCTTCCATCGGAAATTGGACAGATGCGGCACAAGAAATGTGCATTACCGGATCTCGACCCACTCGCTCTAGAGAGGATCGCAATGACGTGCGATATCGGCAGGTCTGCAGGGATTGTAATGTTCGGTTGTTCCTCATTATCCTCCCCTGGCCCCAGCAGAACAGGCTGTGTGGCTGTCAGAATCCGTAACTCGTGTGAGGGGTGAACGACCATCTTCCCTTCATAAGGGCTCAATGTACCTGAGTTCCAACGCCGACAAGGAGGAGGAGGAAGAGGAGGAGGAGTAGGACCCCCCCCTCACCTCCCCCCTCTGGCGAACGAGGAATAGAGCCCCACGCGGCGAGGGCCGCCCCAACCCACCAGCGGCTGCTGCGCGAAGCAGTAGGGCCCACCTCGACCCTTACGCTTCGACACATTGGAACGCGGGCGGTTTGGGGCCGTTTTCGGCCTCCGGGGGCCCTCGCCGGGTCTCGGGAGCCTCACAAAATAACTCAGGACCAAAAGCTGGCCCTATAGGGAAATGGTCCAGACCTCTCGGGCCCACGCATCGGACAAGTTGGAGCAGCCGGACCTCTGGGCCGGCTCCTCGAGATTCGATTCCTCGATCCTGGGCTCCTCCTCCTCCTCCTCCTCCTCCACCCCCTCCTTCTCCTCCTCCTCCTCCTCCTCCTCCTTCTCCTCCTCCTCCTCCTCCTCCTCCTCCTCCTCCTCCTCCTCCTCCTCCTCCACCCCCTCCTCATTCTCCTCAATTCTCCTCCTCCTCCTCCTCCTCCTCCTCCTCCTCCTCGGCTGCATGCAAGAGCGAGTGACCCTAGGCAACAGTGACCCTTGGTGCGCGGCTCTAGGGGTCCGCGGGGTGCTCAATCCAGGCGAGCCAGCCCAGGGGCCAGCACCAAAGGTCACTCGGGCGAAGGGTCATTTTCACGCGTAGCCCACCTCCTCCCCCCTTGGAGAAAGAGGGGAGGAGGAGGAGGAGGAGGAGGAGGAGGAGGAAAAGGAGGGGGAGGAGGAGGAGGAGGAGGAGGAGGAGGAGGAGGAGGAGGAGGAGGAGGAGGAGGACCTCCTCATCCTCCCTTCTCCCCCGTACTACATACATATGGTAGTGGGGGCGGAAAATGTGCCCATCACATCTCCTCTTCCCTGCAGGAAGAGGGTGGGCAGGAGACCAGCGACTCGTCGTCGTAGCCGCCCGACCAAAGCACCGCTCAGCCATCGGCTCCTGGACCCCTCCTGGGATCTCCGTCCTGGTCACTTCGCTCGAGCCGTGCTTGGCCGCAGCGACGAGAACCCCAGGAGACGCCCCCTGAAAAAACACAGCGAAACGAAGACGTCGGCTTAGCCGACGGCTGGTCGGCGTCGTCGTCGCCATCAGCGGCGGCGGCGTCGGAGGCGCTGTCGTCGGCGGCGGCGGCGTTGGCGTCGCTGGCGTCGCTGTCGGCGGCGGCGTCGGCGTCGGAGGCGTCGATGGCGGCGGCAGCGGCGGAGGCATGGCCCCGGCTGCGCGGCAGATTCCGCCGCAAGCCGAGCCCGCGAGGGCGGGGGGGGGGCGCCCTGACCTCTGCTGCGGCGGCCGCGCGGCAGCGGCGGAGGGCGAGAACTCGCGGGGAGCGAGCGTGGCGCAATGCCGATAAAGACTCGGGGTCGAGGAGGAGGACTGATCGAAGGTCCATCCGATCCATCCCCCTCCTCCCCTGACCCTCCAGAAGAACCGGGACCTGAGCACCCGGATCCTTGGATGCTGTCTCCTGGTCGAGGCCTGAAGCTGGAGTATCCGTGCATGCAGCTCTGCGGAAAGTCAGGGTATCCCTCTCCTCCTTCTCCTCCTTCTCCTCCTCCTCGTCCTCCTCTTCCTCCTCCTCTTCCTCCTCCTCCTCCTCCTCCTCCTCCGCCTCTTCTTCGCTCCTCCCTCTGCGGAACCCTCTGGGGACACGGGGACCACTGGAAAACTCAAGGCACACCATGAGACGTCCAGAGACAGTCTGGAAAACTCGATCCTCGGTCCGTGAAAATCAGGTAGGAATATTTTGCTGAGCAGGCAAATCGCACTTGAGCCACATGTAAGGGGTAACGTCAGGGGTGACGCTAACACTTGACTGCGGAACGTGTGGCAATGCATATCACACCATCGCATGGCCATGTTATAACAATCCGTCCTGCTGCTGCTGCTCCTCCTTCTCCTCCACCTCCTCTTCCTGCTCTTCCTCCCCAATCCTTCTTATTCTGCGGACTCACCCCACGCGAATGAAACCGTGGCGACGGGCCTTGGAATGCACACGGCTTCGAAGTCAGATCCAGCCGTTTTGTTGTTTGTGTTTGTTGGGTCGCCTCCGCGGCCGCGGCTGCATGAGCTGCTGCCCACCCCTGGACATGTCTGGGGGACCATTTTGGAGAAGGGACGCGGGGTCGGCGCTGACCGCCGGTGCCGCTGACAGAGCACGACGCGCAGTGGGCCTTCGGAAACGGGTCTCGGACCCCATGGGACCACCAGGATTGGGCGTCGCTTCGTGGGAGGGCGATACAAATTGAGGGGGGGGAGTGCATTCTCCGGCCCCAGAAGCCTTGGGGCCCTTAATGGCCCCGTGAGGGGCCCTAAAGGACCCCTTTTCTTCAGCCCTCGCCGACCCCCCATTCAAATCGCCCCCCATTACGCGACGCCCAACAGGACCATTCGAAAAGCTGCCCGGAAGGAAATCCAGAGTGGAGCTAAACTATGCATTCGAACGCCAGGGCGCCTGATCCACAGCCACAGCTGGCCCTCGTGAAGGTGGCAACATCTCGAAAGCCAAGTCGCCACAGCTGTCCCGCAGAGCCGGCAACCGCCTCCAGCGCATCAGGCGAGGCGCCATCCACGTGAGAAGCGCCACGTTTCGAAGGCCAAGGCGCCCGGACCGCCGGACCACAGCTGGCCCACAGAGCTGGCAGAGCCCTCTGGCCCACTGGGAGGAGCGCCATGCTCGTCAGGGTCGCCACTCTTCGAAAGCCAAGGCACCCGGCCCACAACTGGAACCCACAGAGCCGGCAGAGGCCTCCGGCCCACCAGGAGGGGCGCCATCCCCGTGAGGGGTCGCCACTTGTTTCGAATGCCAGTGCGCCCGGCCCACCGGCTGGCCCGCAGAGCTGGCAGAACCCTTCAGCCCACCGAGAGAAACGACATCCTCGTCAGGGTCACCACTTTTCAAAGGCCAGGGCGCCCAGCCCACAATTATGACACCAGCAAGCGCAACCATAAACAACGCAAATAACAGCTTTACAGCCACGAGCAGCAGCCACCTTAGCAGCAACCTCATCAGCAGATCCGAGCCGCAATAAGCTAGCATGTCGAGGGAACCAAACGTAGGTGGTTGTGAGGGACTCAGTTGTGGGAGTCGTCATCGGTGGCGCTCCCTATGGGGCCTCAAAACGTGCGAGGGATGTGCAGTAATGGGGCGGGGGGGCGCATGTGGACTGTGCCGTTGAGGCTTTCTGTTGAGCTCCCATTGGGCCACGAGACGTGTAAGGGGAGTGCCGACAACGGGCGGGGGGACATATGTGGACTGTGCCTCTGAGACCTTCGGTGGAGCTCCCAATGGGGTCACGAAACGTGTGAGGGGTGTGCAAAAATGGAACGGGGGGGCGCGTGTGGACTGTGCCAGTGGGGCCTGCCGAAAGAGCTCCCTAAAAGCGACAAAACGTGTGAAGGGTGTGCCGACATGGGGCTGGGGGGCGCATGTGGACTGTGCCAATAGGGCCTTCGCTGAAGCTCCCTATGGGGTCTCGAAACATGTGAGGGGTGTGCCGACATGAACGGGGGGGGCGCATGTGGACTGTGCCACTACGGCCTTCAATGTAGTGTAACTTCCACTAGGGGCGCGGACCGTTTGAGGGATGTGCCGAAAGGAGGCAGGGGGATGCATGTGGACTGTGCCACTGGTGCCTTCGGTGGAGCTCCGCCACGAAGCGTGTAAGGGCGTGCCGCACTGGGGCGGGGGGACGCACGATGACTGTGCCAGTGGGGCTTTCGGAGGCGAGGGTCGCCGAAGGCCAGGCCGCCAAGTCGCCTTGCCCACAGCCGCCGCGCAGAGCCGGCAGAGGCCTCCGGCCCACCAGGAGGGGCGCCATCCCTGTGATGGTCGCCACCTTTCGAAGACCAAGGCTCCCAGCCCACAACTGGCCCACAGAGCCGGCAGAAGCCCCCCAGCCCACCAGGAAGAGCACCATCCGTGCGAGAGTGGCCACCTTTCGAAGGCCAAGGCTCCCAGCCAGCCCACAACTGGCCCGGGGGGCCGGCAGAGCCTTCCAGCCCGCCAGGAGGGGCGCCATCCCTGTGAAGGCCGCCACTGCGCGAAGGCCAAAGCGCCCAGCTTGACTGCAGCTGGCCCCCAAAGCCGGCAGAGGCCTCCGGCCCACCAGGAGGGACGCCATCCCTGTCAGGGTCGCCACTTTGCCGGCAAAGGCCTCTGGCCTAACAGGCGGGGCGCCATCCCTGTCAGCGTCGCCACTTCTCGAAGGCCGATGCGCCCGGCCCACAAAGTGCCCGCAGAGCTAGCAGAGCCCTGTCAAGCCCACCTGGAGAGGCGCCATCCTCGCCAGGCTCGCCACATTTCAAAGGCCAGGGCGCCCGGACCACATTCATGACACCAGTAAACGCAACCATAAACAATACAAGCTTCAACTTTGCAACCACAAGCAGCCGCCACATCAGCGGCAACACCATCAGCAAATAGAAACGACATAACAACAGCATTGTAACCACACGAACAGCAACGACAACATGAACAGCAACCACATCAGCAAAGCTGGCAGAGGTCTTGGCTAACCCAGTTCTTGCGACCAGGCAACCACGCCTTTTGCTGGCATAGTTCTGGAAAACAACAACAGTCTAACCACATTAACAGCACCGACGACATGAACGACCAACCGCATCAGCAAAGCAGGCAGAGGTCCCGGATACCGCAATGCCCTAACCAGGTAAGACACTCTTGAATACTAAATCCGATTTGCTCTCCTGGGGATGGCGCCGAGAGTTCTGAGCACTACGCACTGAAATCATGCCTCGAAGATCTGGACTTCACGCTGCTGCTTCGCCAACCCTCATTTTTGTTGTGCCCCCTTCAGATCGCCCAGCACCTTCAACACCTCATTGTCCTCAAGATCGACCTCCTCATCATCATCCTCATTACCCCCCACATCATCATCCGCCTCCTCCTGCTCGTTCTCATCATCCTCACTCCTCCGTCGACCATGGCCTCCGCCTCCACCTCTGCCTCTTACTCGTCCTCGTCCATATCCTTCTCCTCGTCCTCCTATGCTGCGTTTTCGCCTCTCCCTTGTCAACCTCCTGCTGCTCCTCCTTTTCCTCCTCTTTCTCCTCCTCCTCTTCAAACTCCACCAACTCCACCTCCGTCGCAAACTGCGCGCGAGCATGCAGACGCACGGCCACCCACTGGTCAAGGGTGCAAGTGCGCTCGCAGGCAGATATGTCAATGATTGGCGACGTCCAGCAGACGAACATTGCATTGCCAGCGGCGCTGCCTCATTGCCCTGTCCCGGCCACACTTTGAATGACTTCCCTGCTCTCGGCACGCGAGCTGATCTCAGCGTTTTGCTTGTGTCGGTCTCTCAAAATTGAACGCCCGAGTCGAAGCTCCTGAAGCGGCGCGCGACACAAAAAAACCAGGATGCAAGGGACACCACGCAGCCTAAGGACGCAGCCCGCCACAAGGGTATCCCAAGGAGCAGGCGCGCGAGATTTGCCAAAGATGGACCGAGGACACAAGGATGCAAGAGCACCCTTTGGAAATCCCACCAGCCCTGTGGACGTAGGTGGATTGACGAATTTTGTCTTCTTTCCTCCTCGTTCCTCTGCTCGGGGGAGGGGTTTATCACTGTTTCGCATTCGTAGGCACCCCATCCCCCAGGCGACCGGCAGTCAACGCGGACCAAGGGGCCCCTCCCACAATTCCCTCAAGCCAAATCAACACAATGGACTGCGCCTCTAAATCTGGCGCGTGCGCGAGCGCCCCACCTTGTAAAACTAAACTGGGCGAAAAACCCAACCATATGCAGTCGTGAATATCGCCGTTATGGGCAGCGCATTCGGTGAATCTCGTTATGGGGCCACGAAGTGTAGAAGGGGTGCGCCGACATGGGGCGGGGCCACAATGCGGGCGCTACTACTGGGCCCTCAGGTATACCCCCCCCCCCATGGGGCCACGAAGCGTGTGAGGGGCGAAATGGGGCGGGCCGCCGTGCGAATGTCGCCACTGGGCCTTCGGTGGCGCGCCCCATGGGGCAACGAAAGGTGCGAGGGGTGTGCCGAAATGGGCGGGGGAGACGCATGTGATCACAGCCACCGGGGCCTACAGTGGAGCCCCCTATGGGACCACGGAGCGCTGTACTGGGTGGCGCGGGCGCGTGTGGTCACAGCCACTGGGGCCTTCGGTGGAGCGCCTATGGAGCCACGAAGCGAGGCTCTGGGGCCTGACACTGGGGCCTTCGGTGGAGCCCCGTATGGGGCCACGAAACGTGTGAGGGAGGTGCCGGAATGGGCGGGGGGACGCATGCGGACCATGTCACTGAGACTTTCGGTGGAGCCCCCTACGGGGCCACGAAGCGCTGTACTGGGCGGCGCGCAAGCATGAGGTCGCATTCACGGGGGCTTTCGGTGGAGCTCCCTACCAATAGCGGCACGATATGCCGTACTGGGTGGCGCGGGACGCAGGTGTTCACAGCCACTGGGCCCTATTTGCAGCTCCCTGTGGGGGCACGGAGCGCTGTACTGGGTGGCGCGGACGCATGCGGTCACAGCCAGTGGGGCCTTCGGTGGACTTCCCGTAGGGCCACGGAACGCTGCACCGGGTGGCCACGAAGCGCTGTGCTGGGTGGCGCAGACGCATGCGATCACAACCACTGGGGCCTTCGGTGGAGTTCCCTATCGGGCCACGAAGCGCTGTACAGGGTGGCGCAGACGCATGTGATCACAGCCACTGGGGCCTTCGGCGGAACTCCGCATGGGGCCACGAAACGCTATATCCTCGGGCGCGAACGCATGCGATCACAACCTCTGGGGCCTTCGCCGGGGCCCACTGTTGGGCCGCGAAGCGCTGTACTGGGTGGCGGGGGGCGCATATGATCAACGCCATTGGAGCCTTCGGTGGAGCCCCCGTGGGGCCACGAAGCGGTGTACTGGGCGGCGCGGGCGCATGTGTTTACAGCCACTGGGGCCGTCGGTGGAGTTCCCTATGGGGCCACGGAGCGCTATATCCTCTGGCGCGGACGCATGTTATCACAGCCGCTGGGTCCGTCGGTGGGGGGGGGCCGCGAAGTGCTGCATCCTCGGGCGCGGACGCATGTGATCACAGCCACTGGGGCCTTCGGCGAAGCTCCCTATGGGGCCACGAAGCGCTGTACCGGGCACGGGGGGCAGAGGCAGGGATGGGAGGATGGGCGTGATGTGGAGGAGGTGCAGGAGGAGGAGGAGGGACGCGTGGCGCTATCTCTTCAAAACGAGGACCCAATACCACACGATGGTTACGGTGCCGCTGGGGCCTTCGGTGGAGGTCCTTATGAAGCCACGAAGCGCGTGAGGGGTGTACCGAAACGGGGTGTCGCCTACATGCGGGCGGTGCCACTGGAACCTTAGTTGGAACTCCCCATGAAGCCACGAACCCTGTGAGGGGTTTGCCGACATGAGTCGCGCGGACACATGCAGGCATCGCCACTGGGGCCTTCGGTGGCGCCCCCCGTAAGGGGCCACGAACCGTGTGAAAGGTGTGCCAAAATGGGTAGCGCGGACGCATGGGAACGTTGCCACTGGGGCCTTCGGTGGAGCTCCCGATGGGGCCACGAACCGTGTGAGGGGTGTGCCGAAATGGGTGGCGCAGACACATGTGAACGTTGCCACTGGGGCCTTCGGTAGAGCTCCCGATGAGAGCACGAGCCGTGTGAGAAGTGTACCGAAATTGGCGGCGCGGACGCATGGGAACGTGGCCATTGGGGCCTTAGGTGGAGCTGCCTATAGGGCCATGAACCGTGTGAAGGGTGTGCCGAAATGAGTGTTGATGGTGAAGATGGCAGCGATGATGATGACGATGATGTTGATGATGACGGTGATGGTGGTGATGACGAGGATAAGGAAGATGATGACGACGATGACGATGACAATGGCAATGGTGATAATTCGATTATGATGCTGATGATGATGCTGATTGACGGGAGGAGGGAGGAAGAAGGAAGGAGGCGGGACGCGGGGCGCTGTCTCTTCAAAGTGGGGACCCAACACCACAGGACGGCTGGGAAAAAACCATACCAGTATTATCCTGGCGGGGGACCCAACCAGATGCAATTCGGAATACCGCAAAGCAGGTGGGACGAAGGACGGGCAGCTCTTACGGGGCCACGAGACGTCTGATAGAGTATGCCAGCATGGGCGGGGGGGCGCATGTGGACACCGCCGCCAAGGCCTTCGGTGGATCTCCCTGGGGGCATGCCACGAAACGCGGGATGACGTGTGCCTACATGGGCGGGGGACACGCATGTGATCACAGCCACTGGGGCCTACGGTGGAGCTCCCTTTGGGGCCACGGAGCGCTGTACTGGTTGGCGCGGACGCATGTGGTCACAGCCACTGGGGCCTTCGGTGGAGCTCCTATGGAGCCACGAAGCGATGCACGGGGTGCCGCGGGACGCATGTGAGCACAGCCGCTGGAGCCTTCGGTGGAGCCCCTCATGTGGCCACGAAGCGCTGTTCTGGGTGGCGCGCGGCGCGTGTGGTCACAGCCACTGGGGCCGTCGGTGGAGCTCCCCATGGGGCCACGAAGCGCCGTACTGGGTGGCGCGCGACGCATGTGGTCACAACCACTGGCGCCTTCGGTGGAGCTCCCCATGGGGCCATAAAGCACCGTACTGGGCGGCGCGGGGCGCAGTGACCACAGCCACTGGGGCCTTCGGTGGAGCTCCCCATGAGGCCATGAAGCGCCGTACTGGGCGGCGCGAAACGCATGTGGTCACAGCCACTGGGGCCTTCGGTGGAGTACCACATGGGGACACGAAGCGCAGTACTGGGTGGCGCGGGGCGCATGTGCTCACAGCCGCAGGGGCCTTCGGTGGAGCTCCTATGGGGACGCGAAACGCAATACTGGGTGGCGCGCGACGCATGTTGTCACAGCCACTGGGGCCTGCCGGGAGCTCCCATGGAGCCCCGAAGCGCCGTACTGGGTGGCGCGGGGCACATGTGGTCACAGCCACTGGAGCCTTCGGAGCAGCCCCCATAGAAGGCCACGAAGCGCCGTACTGAGTGGCGCGGGGCGCATGTGGTCACAAACACTAGGGTCTTCGGTGGAGCTCCCTGTGGAGCCGCGAAGCGCCGTTCTGGGTGGCGCAGGACGCATGTGGTCACAGCCACAGGAGCCCTCTGTGGAGCTCCCTATGGGGCCACGGCGGGCTGGGTGCGCTGAAATGGTCGACACGCAGAGGCCAGAGTGAAGGGTGGGAGGGAGGGGGCGGGAGGAAGGAGTGAGGGACGCGGGGCGCTGTCTCTTGAAAACGAGGAGCCGGCAACAGGCTGGTTGGGCCAAATGCAGTACACGTTGGCTCCAAGCCTGGAGAATGTGCGCGGGGCCCTCTTTTCTCTGAGCCCTCATCTGTTTCACGGCTCCTCAACACGTAAGACTTTGTCCATCGGTGCCGGTGCTTTGCGCTCCCTGGAAGAGCCGCCCTTCTCACAGAATGCTCGGAACTTCGCTTCAGGCTTCAGGGGGACTCAGAATCCTGAACTTCTTGGGCCAGGGCCCCAGGCACCCGGGGTCCCTCTTGGTTCCCCGCAGCTGGCGCACCTGGCGCGGCTGGCACAATTGGCGCACGTGGACCATGTGCCGCACCTGCGCGCATTGCATGTGTTGCGTTCCTGAGCGATCTGCTGACACTCGGGTGTTACTTATGTGTTGGGAGGACGGGTGGGGGTGAGCTAGACGGCCTGCTATCTAGGAGGGTAGCTTGACCTCTCCCCCATACTCCCTCCCATGGGCCTGGGGTGGGGGGGGGGGCGGGGCCGGGGTAGTTAGAGCTTCAAGATGGGCCCGAGATTGCTTCAAGCGGACCCTCACCCAAAACAGCCTCCCAGATGGCTCAAGATAGCCGAAGATGGTTCAATTTAGCCTCCTACATACCTCAAACAGGCCCCACGACAACCCCAAGACGGTTCCAAGTGCCCTCCGAGCATCCGAGGCACCCTACAAGATGCCAACATCCGTCCAACACCGAAGGAAAATCACGGTCGTTTGCCTTGTTGCTGTTTCCCTTCAGATGGGCTTCAGAGGCCCCAGGATGGCCCCAAGACGGCCCAAGAGAGTCGCAAGAGGGGCCCAAGGAGGCACCAGGGGGGCCCCACGAGCGCTCCAAGAGCGGCCTCAGAGGGCCCCAAGACGCCATTTTTGGGTCTCCGAGGGGGGGACCTGAATCGGGTACCGCCCCCCCCTCTTTATGAGCCGTGGGGCCGCCCAAGCGGCGTCCCAGACCCCTCCAATGGGCCCCAAGAGGGCCCCAAGACCCCCCCCAATGAGCACCAAGAGGGTCCCGAGAGTGGCCCAAGAGGCGCCACGAGAGCCCCAAGAGAGCCCCTAAGGTAGCCTGACTCGTCCTTCAAGAACCTACCACAACAACGCAAATCCAGAACACGACTTCTCGTCCTCCGTGTCATCGTCCGTTCCGTCCTTCCTCCTTTCCTGCCTCCTTCCTCCTCCTCATCTTCCTCGTGCCGCACTCCTCCTCTTCCTCCTCCTCCTCCTCCTCCTCCTCTTCTTCCCCCTCCTCCTCCTTCTCTCGTGATCCTCCTCCTCCTCCTCCTCGTCCTCCTCCTTCTTCCTCCTTCTACCTCCCTCTACCTCCAAGATGGTCCCAGGAGGTCGAGCATGGCTCACGATCGCCTCCGCCAGACCTCCAAGAGACCTCAAGACAGCCTCAAGATGGCCCAAGATAACTGAGCATGGCTAGGGACAGCCTCGGGCAGCTTCGAGCCCTGGATGGCTCAAGAGAGCCCCCAAGAGGCCTCAAGAACGCATCCGATCGTGTCTGGCTGGGCTGTTCGGGGCACGCGAAGCGTCAAAACTTGCACGAAACCACTGAAGCCTTATTAAGCGCGTTGGCTGTACCACTCGCCGACGCTTGGTACCGCTCTGGCAACGGCACGCGCTCTAGCGTGTCACTGCAGGGGGTAGCGCAAGCTGGATCGGCCAGAGACAAGTACCTGCAGCAATGCTTTGTATGCTGAACCAGGCAAGAATGCACAGCGCGTAACAAGTCACCACGATGGCACAGCTGTGGAACCTCGTGCAAGGCCGAACGCTCGGATGCCGAGGCTAAACAAGACTACTGCGCGGTCGCTGGTGCCCACCGACGGCGCTCTCCAAGCGCCGCCGGTTGCGAGCTGGCGCTCCCCTTGAAGAAACAACTGGGACCTCCTCAGGTAGGTGCAGGGAGTCCGCCCACTCCTCGGCGTCCCATGTCTGCGGTTCCAACACCGAGAGGCATGTGAAACACAAGCCTTCGCGGCGGTCATTGCAAGACGGTCTTCCGCACGAGGCCGCGTGCATCGACTGTCTGTGAAACATAAATGAACCGCCTGTGGGAACACCTGCAGATTGCACATGCGACGCAAGCGGGCCCCCGCGATAATAATTCAGCAGAGGCGTTGTCGAAAAAGAGGCTCCCTCGAGGAAGCCGCCTTCGAGAATGACCTCATGGGTGGAAACAGGTGTTCTAACATCCCGCTATAGTAGTGCCCTGCGAACTGCTCAGCCATCACTAAACAAACGCCATACCCAACACGAGAACAACAGCAACTCCAAGGCTTTGGGCGGTATCATCTGGTACCGGTGCTATGGGATTGAGCGACAAAGACTACTCCGCTCGGCCCGTGCTTCTCATCCTCTGCTCTTGATCTCTTTCCCTAAATCAGACGCATGTGCCATAGACAACTCGCCTTGCACCCCAAATCCTCACTCACTCACTCCTGTTAATCTCTTCTCTTCTCTCGCCTCGTCTCACCCCCTCCCATTGGATGCTGTCCCCTCTCCGTAGCTTCCCCTGGTATCTCCCTCCGATCCCCTGTGCTATGCATGCCTGCATGCCCCCCCCCTCACAGATCCTCCCTTCCTCTACCCTATGTCGTCTTCCTTCCTTTCCTCTCCGCGCCTATCTGTTGCTATTCTTTCACTTTTCATCCACACGCTCCTCTCCTCCCTACTCCACCCAAAGACACCCTATCTAATCACATCTTCGCGTCTCCTCCCTCATCCTCCTCCGCCTCCTCCTCCTGATCACGTGTCATCCGCCTCTCCTCTTCTCATCCCCTTTATCTCTCCCGCCCTCTCCGAGACCCCGCCTGTGCTCTCCCATGCTCCCCACCCCATTGCACTCTTATCCCGCATTTGCGGATACGAGTGAGGGGGTGGCGGGGACGTCGGCACTCGGCAAGGCTCTGAAGAAGCCTGCTGCAGGCGCCTAATTGTTGAACAAATCATGCAACGAACCCGCCGCAGGCGCCGATATTTCGTAAATCGCGGTCGGGTTGCGGGTGAGTCTCGGGTGTGTCGCGGGTGGGTCGCGGGTGTGTCGCGGGGTGAGTCGCGGGTAGGTCGCGGGTGGGTGGGTGGGTCGCGGGGTGGGTCGCGGGTGGGTCGCGGGTGGGTCGCGGGTGGGTCGCGGGTAGGTTGCGGGTGGATCGCGGGATGGGTTGCGGGTGGGTTGCGGGTGGGTCGCGGGATGGGTCGCGGGCGGGGTCGCGGGTGGGAGGACGACACCAACCAACAAACAGCAAACAACGTCCTATGTTCCTATGTTCCTTGCCCTCCACTAGGTCTGTCTGGGTCTATCTGAGCGGGCTTGACCTAAGTCCAGCAATAATAAACTGAGATAACAAACAATGCCCCGAACAACCAACCTCGTCAGCGCGTGTTATAAGCTACCGTCTTCGATCGTGGGCGGCTGCGGGCAGAAGGAGATTCAGGATCTTCGAAGCGGCATGGCGGTCCGAACTGAAATCAGTCAGGAAGGGGGGATGAAGCCAAATCCGCTCAAAATCGGTCCCAGGACCCCTCACGCGGTCCATCTGTGCAGTTTTGCACCTCGTTTTCGTGTTCTATTGTCACGGGGGAGCCCGAAAACGGCCACACCTGATGCCGAAAGGGACAACCCAAAACCCTCCCGAACCCAGAACTTCGAGCCTGCTCGACACCCCCCGGCAAAAGAAGCTAATCTGGCAAGTTCACTTGCCTTGATGGGGGGGTGGGGGGCTTCAACCAGAAGCAAGCCGCCAACGACTCGCACGCGCGGAAATCACCAACGCAAGTCGAGCGGCACGTGCACGCCAGTGTTCGTCTGAGGAGGGGCGAGGGGGGGGGGAGGGGGGGGGGGAACGCCATGCAAGGTATATCTATATATATACACACATGTAACTTGAAAAATAAAACTGAACAAAAAACAACGAACAAAGCACAACCAAACAGACGCACAGCCTACTGGACCCAGAACTTCGAGCCCGCCCGCCCTCCCGGCCGGCCGGAAGGGCCACCCTCGGCCCCCCGATGGCCGCAGCCCGGAGCACCACCGCGAGAGGGGGGGGGCGGGACGCGTGTGCTGGCTCGTGGAGCGCAGGGCTGGCAGCTGGATGCTCATGCTGGGAGCCTTCCTGGAGACACTCGCTCCACTCCTGCGTCGAGGCTGCGTAAAACGCCCGCCGCTCTGAGTCGACCCTGAGTCGAAACGGAGTCGACCTTGGGTCGAACTTGGGCTGAACGTGGGTCGGACTGGAGTCAAAACGATCCGTTAGGTGGGCCTCAGGAGCGTTCCCAAAACGATCATCCGAGCTTTTTTCCAGGACATGACCCGAAGAAGTCTGGACCCCTTCCTGGGGACCAGTTTTTCTCCACCCGACAAGATGGGGTCGCTAGACTTTCAGAACAGACCTCCCGGCCCGCCAGCCCTGCATACCGCGGCCGCCAGATCGCCAGGCTCCCGATAATCCCTGGTGGTCCCGCCGCCCCCCCCCCCCGCCCTGCATGCCGCGGCCGCCAGATCCCCAGGCTCCGGATAATCCCTGGTGGTCCCGCCCCCCGCGCCGGCTCGCCCACTGTGCATACCGCGGCCGCCAGATCCGCAGGTCCCCCACAGAAGAGAGCATACCACTACACCACCGACTAGAACGTATCCGAACATAACATACCACATCATCACAGACCATATCGTAACATACCACACCATGGCAGAGCAGTGAACAACATAGCACAGCGTCACAGCACGTATCCGTCCACAACATAAGAAGTAATTCATGCCATACTGTGGGGGATTTTTTTTTCCTATCATCCTGGGGCTTTGTCATGCAACGATAAATTCCGAAGCCGACTTACGGCCCCGCAAACAATGCTTGCGCGAGCCCGCGGCCCGCCAGGACCAGACCACGAAGCGCGGCGACCGTCACTCCGCGCTCTGCCCGACCACTGGCCTGGGGTCCACCGACCTGGCCACTCTGGCGGCCCTACCCCGCTCCTGGGCCTCAGCTGCGCTGGCAAAGCCGAAAGAGCCCAGGGCTCCCTCGAACCCTGGGCAAATCAGCCTCACTGGGGCAGACGGGGCGGGTGCCCGTTCCCGCAACTCCAGTGGCTCCACCGCGGGGGCTCTTGAGTCAACAGGGGCCCCAAGGTCATCCCTGTCCTCAAAGCCCGCAGCCATGCCGACCGCCTCGGCCCACCTGGCACGGGTGGCCGCTGTGGGCCGAGCGGCCGAGCTAACTGGTCAATCGGCAGCTTGAGTTTTGGCAGAAGCGATTTCGCGAAATCATTACGCGCCTGTGCCCTGGAGCCCTTCTTGGCCCTGGGATCGCCAGCGCGCTGGGCTCCATCACAGGCCTTGGCTAGGCCTCGGTGGCAGTACTGGGGTTTCATGCAATACATCCAGCACGCCACACAGACCAGAAACACTGGTCCATCACTGCCAGAAACGCGGGATTCCCTAAGCCGGTGGCCGTTGACCACCCAAACCCCCGACTCGCCAGGGTCAGGGGACACAAAGAGAGGCCCTGGGGACCCCACCAGGCGATCAGGGCCCGAGGGGGCTCTCTGAGGCGGGTCGGCAGCCACCGCGGCAGAGGAGGCCCCAGAGGAAGGAGTGAGCGAGGGGTTCGACACGGCCGACGCTGGCGGACTCTGTGCGCCTGCGGTCGAGGCCGTTGCTGACTGCGCCTTGTCCGCGCGGCGGCGCTAGACAGCACGAAAAAAGGCCGCCGACGCGCTCGACGCGTCTGCGGCTGGCTCACTGGGCCTGACGGGCCCGTCGCCTGCCTCCTCCCTCCTGTGGACCTTCGCGTCGCCCTTCTCCTGGGCCTGGGCCCACTGGCTGGCCGCCGCCGCCGCCGCCAGCACCGCGATTGCCCCCGCGGCCTCCGAGCCGCCAGAGCCTCGGGCCGCCGACTCCTCGGCCTCTAGCAGCTGCTCCAGGTCGTGCGTCGAGGCGAAGGGGTCCAGGTCCACGAGATCCAGTGAAGTGAGCGGCCAGGCGTCCCTGAGCCCCGACTCGGTGATGTGCACCTCCAGGGCCGCCGCGCACCTGGCCACCTCCTTCGCCCTAGCTAGGCAGCCTTCCAACATCAGGGCGTCCTGCTCAGCGATGGCGTGGAAGGCCGCTCCTTCCTTTGCCCTGGTGTCGGCTCGCCTGTTGCCCAAGAGCTCGAAGAGGGTGAGCTCCCCGTCACTCACCGCGGCTTCGGAGCGGTGGGCTGGGACGTGGCGTATGATCACGCCCTCCGCTGCATCACCGACCCTGGCCCACACGTGGGCGTGCAGGGAGCTGGGGCCGCTGGCCTTGGTCAGGTTGGAAGCCGCCTTCACCGTGCTCAGGCAGTCGCTGAGCAGCGTGTAGTTCCCGATGATGTCGGCGAGGCCGATGGCGGCGGCGTAGTCCTCCCCTGCCTTGGCTGTCTGCGACGGGAGGTCGCTGGGGGGCACGGCTCCCCATGCCCCGGCGAGGAGCCTCCCCTCGGGCCCGTGCACGATGACGGCCCACCCCGCGCTCCTGACGTGCGGGAAGTCCCCATTCAGGCACGAGCCATCAGTGAACACGAAGGACCCGTCTGGCACCACCAAGATGCCGTCCCCCCATCCGCAGGATCTCCACGCCCAGCTGTCATCCCAGGCTGGCCTGGCAACGAGGAGGCTGATGTCGGCGAAGAGCCCCTGGCTGAAAAGCTCGTCGAAGGGGGCCCCCATGCGGTGGACCTGCTCCGCTGCCTTCCTTACCTGGCACGGGCAGTAGTCCCGCCTCCAGGGCGCCCATGCTGGACACTCGTGGTGCCTATGGTGCATCGTCCCAGGGGCTGCGCCGCAGAGTCTGCACAGCGGGTCGATCTCACGCCCACGTCTTGCCAGACGGGCCTGGGGCCAGCTGGCCAGGGACGCCAGTCGTCTCAAGCAGCCTTTGTGGTGAGCTGTCCAGGCTACCGATTCCTTGGCGCCAAGGAGCTGGTTGATCGGCGTCCACCACGGCGGCAGTCTCCACTGCCAGAAGGTCTCGGGCCCGCTGGCGTACTCCTCGAGCGACGCCGCCTGACGCGTGTCCTCCTTGACCTTGGCGGCGAGGAAGGCGGGCGAGAACTTCGCGACCTCAAACTCGCTGCCCGCCCTGTCAGTCAGGACCCGTCCGCCAGCGCTGAGG